ATTATTATTATCCTATTTTAGAATGGAACTTGGACAGTAGGCAGTATTTTCCACAGAGAGTATAAGCATTAGGGGCAATGTCATAACAGTATGAAATGCCTTGCAGATGATTTCTCAGTCACTACCGAATTCCACAATCCTATAGCTACTTTGCTGATGGTGCCAAAACTGAGTTTAAAGGTGGCTCTGTGGGTTCAGCACTCATCGAGCTTGCCCACAGGAGTGTCCCACTAGTGAAGAAAGTAATTTCCCACAGAGTTAATTTCCACATATTAGCTACCAGTTGCTTGCATTATGCCACCAAGGAAGGCCGGACGAAAGCGCAAATCAATGTTCCAGATGTGCTGGTACCGGCAGAGTACCTGCAACATAGAGAGGCAATGCCAGATTAATAGTCGGAGAGGTCTGTAGATCTCCATGCAAATAGAAAATAAGCTAAGGCATGAAATAAACGCTGCAGACAAACCCTTTATTATTAGCAATGGCCTAAAATCCTTTTTCTGGATGCTGCCTGAGAAATCTCATCTCAGAAAATCTGAAAAGACCACATCTGGGTTATGACTACGCAAGTCTAAGCAAGGGCAAAATAAACAAGAGATCAGGCTCATGAGCGGGCACTTGTTTAACATCAAAACTTTCACTAAAGTAAAATGTTCAGCAGTAACTCCCAAATCAGCACAGGCCACGCTGCAGTGAGGTTGGGATGTGCTTTTTAAGCGTTCCCTGCTTTTCAAAACTCCCGGAAGAAGCTGCGGTATCTCTCACAAGTGAGGCAAAAATAAAATCTGAACACATGGTGGGTAAAGCAAATCAAAACCAACCAAACCAAACCAAAACACGGATCTCCCGCTAGGTAAACTGGCTCTGTAAGGCCGCTGCCTGGGGCAGGGCGGGCACGGCACGCGTTGCCCTTCAGCCGACTCCTGACCCCGGCCGTGCCAGGCCGGCTCCCGGCGGGGAGCCCCGCGGAGAGGACGGGGCTACGTCGGAGCCGCCGGCTGCAAGCAGCCGGCCTCCCTCCCTCTCCTCCCCTCCTCTCACCTCAAACCCCAGCCAGGAGTACGGGGACACCACATCGTAGAACAGCTCCACGAGCGTCCGTCCCATCCTCGCGCCGAGCCGAGCCGAGCCGCAGCGCCGTCACCCTTCACCCAGTGCCCCAGCGGCACCACCCCCCGGCCGGCCCGCGGCGAGGCGGTGCCTGGCGCCCCTCCTCTCGCGTGGTGCTGTTCTGCTGGCTTGTCTGTGGAGCCTGGCTTGGGAAGGAGAGGGAGGAGCTGGGGAGGGAGTCTTTGTTTTTCTCTCTGCTGGGGCAGGAGGAGAAGCCTCCCAAGGAGGGAAGCCGGGAGCTGTCTTAGGCAGAGAAGTGCAGGATGTTTTCCCCAAATCCTCCTACTCTCATCTCTTCTGCCTGGTTTCACTTACTTCATGCATAATTTGTTGCTATAGGAGTAATTATTGTTAAAGGAGTTACATACCTTTTCCCTTATTTACTGATGCATGCTTTTTACTTTGGTACAGAAACATTTTTTCCCCAGCATGAATTTTGCTTCAAGAAGTTAGTTTCATCTCTCCCCCTCATATTATGCTCGCTTCCAAGCTCAGATCTCCATTCTGAGTAGTCATATTGTTTCTCTGAAATTTTTGTCCTTTCAAGTGCTTGTTCTGTATAGTTAGTTCACATGTCTGGCGATGGTGGGAATATTTTGGGAGTTAATCATACTCCATTTTACCAGGTGGGTTGACAGCTTTGGTTGTGTGATCAGTCCAATAGTGGGCAGTGAAACAGACTGATCTGGTGAATAGCTAGATGCAGGTGTCATTACATGAATGTGGCATTGCCATAAAATAGTAGAACCCCAGTAAGGTGGGAAGCATGGGCTAAAAATGCTTTGAGCTGTCCTACACGAGATGAATCAAGAATGAATCAAGATGGCCACAAGGATTTGGGTATAGGAGGTTGAGATGAAACTAAAATTGCAAAGAAGAGTAAGAATGCCAATAACAAACATACTGGTCTAATTTCTGTGGGTGCCGGCACAAACAAGATTAAGAAGTGCCAGGATATTGCACTAGGAGTGGTTAATCACATTTGGACCACTGAGTGGTATCTGCAAGGTCTGAGCTCTGTGGACATGGCTAGAAGAAATCCTCATATCCAAGATGCTGCTGCCAGCCCTTCACAATTTTTTTGGTTCGTGATAAGGTTGTAAGATGGTGAATGGCATATTTCTGTGTAATGATCGTATGCAGTGACTGCCAATTAAACACATTCAATTAGGGCTATGTCTAGAAAGACGCGTGTTTGAGCACTACACACAGCAAAAGAAGTAGCTTTCTTAGGACTCAGGATGTTGATCAACTTTTGGGGGACAGTGCTGGATATGTAGCAGATACCTACAAATGAGAGGTGTCTCAAGAAGTGACTCAGCTTGGCATCATCCACAAACTTGCTGAGGGTGCACTCAATCTTACTGTCTATGTTATTAATAAAGGTATTAAACAGTTCAGGTCCCAGTATGGACCCCTGAGAAACACTGCTCATCACTGAGCTCCACCTGGACATTGAGCTGTTGAGAGCAGCTCTCCAGATGCAACTGTCCAGCCGGTTTCTTATCCACTAAATAGTCTGCCTTTCAAATCCATGTCTTTCTCAGGACCATCCAGTGGTGAGGCTGAGGACATATTCCCAGTAGGCAGATTCACACAGAGTGAACATATGCACTATGTATGCGCATGAACATTGCTGGCCACACAGATCACAGATCTCCTCAGGGTGCTCACATGAATGCAGACAGCACCAATGGCCTCATTCTGCTACCCTCTTTGGCTGAGCAAAATGGAAGTCCACTAGTGAAGATATAAACAAAGTGGATCCCTCCGACAGCTGGGCTCAGACACTCAGACTGCTCGAGATCTGCCCCTGGATCCAGCTGACACCTGGACATAAGAACCCTTGAGGCTACAGCCTCACTCCAGTTGCTGGCACAGACCGTTGTCCATACACACACACAGGCACACAGCTGGACAAGATATCCCTCATCTCAGTAGCTGATCCCCCCCCCCCCCCCCCCCCCCCCCATGCTAGTGAAAAAACACACCATCACCCTCTAAGATTCACAAGCACTTGCACATGTGCAGATCCCTTGAATATCAGCATGGAATGTCAGTCCATCATGCCCTGAGCCCTTTTGCCAAGTATATAGGTCTCCTACTTAACAAGTATTACCTTATCTTATTCAACTCAATACCTGCTAGCAGAGGCATACAGTTAGACAACTATTTCACAAGCACTCATGGATCCCTCTATGCTCAGCAAAGGCTCTTATCTTGGCCTTTGAACTGTGCTCCAAGCTCTCTTAGCTACTTCCAGCTCAGATTCAGTCTTTCTAGAGGCAGGTTTTCCTCCGACTCACCGTGCAATGCAGCCTGAAGTTGTTGGGTGATCTCATAAAACCCCCAAGTGCATATCCAAAAAGGAGCAGAAGAGAGAAAATGGGGGCATGGAGTAGGTGGTGGGAATGACAAGTAATACCCTGCCCAAGTAAAAGGTCTGCTCCCAGGCTCTTCACAGGAGCCTGTCACAGGTCCATCTCCACAAGTCCAGAGGAGTTGAGGGGCACAGTAGCAGGTGGGAACTCAAACTCCATCTCCCTCCAAGAGCTGGAAAACACTTTCCCAGGCTCCTCACAGGGCTGCCTTAGGACAGCCATCAGCCCCGTTATTCAAGGATAAAACCCATCAAGTCAACAGGAGAGGGACTGAGAGGATATTACTGCAAAGGGATCTGGGATACCTTATAAGATGCAGAAGAAGAGCATTTTGGGATTGCACAAAATTCATGTTTTTTTATGGGAGGAACCAAAGAGAGGGAAAGGAATATATCTAAGTGATGTGAGGAGGAACAAGGCTTCAGAAATAGAGGTATAAGGGGATAAAAAGGGATAGTTGTGTATAAACAGGACTCGGCTACCAGAGGGACCAGGATAATTGGCTACTGGAATGACTTTATGTACTCTTGTGATAGTAGGTATAACTAGGGAGAAAGTAAACAGGTCCTACTTGGAGCTACATGTCCAGGTGGTTACATTCCCTTAGGAATTTTAACAAAAGGCTTAATCTTTGCCAAATTTGCCTTTCCTTTTTGGTTTCCTATTCATTCCTTCCAGTCTAGTTCAGAAAGGATAAAGCTATGCAGATAGAAATATCCTAAATATTACTTAATAGTAGCAATACAGATTAACAGAACACTGTGCTCTCATGATATTCTACAGTGAAGCTCTACTTGGTGCTGAGAGGCAGACATCCAGAGAAGCATAGATTTGCCAGGATCCTCAGTGAGTACAAAGAAATATTAAGTTAATTTCAGTGCAACTTCTTCTGCCTCAGTCCTTGGCACAAGGTTATAAGGTGTCCTGATGGTGGGCTAACAAGGTTAGTGAGATTGTTTGGGCAAGGATCTACTTGTCTGTTTGTCTTCCCTGCTGTTTGGGACAAACTCACACTTTGTTATGTACCATGCTAGCTAGAACAACTGTTGTTTTTATATGTAAATGAGAGTCTCATCTTCATTATGTTGACTCTTATGGATATATCATCTAGACATATCTTTACAGTGGCATCCTCTATGCAAATGCAGCTTTGTTGGGTGGCATGGGAGTGGCTATTGGAAAGGTGGGGCTCAGATTTTCATAGAATCATTAAGGTTGGAAAAGACCTCCCAGATCATCTGGTCCAACCATCACTCTATCACCAGTATCACCGACTAAACCATGTCCCTAAGCACGGGCAGTAACCGTGTCTCTAAGCATGGGCAGATGTTCAGCCATTTCCATGAAAGCAAGGCCCATCACACATAATTGTTACTTGGAAAGACAAACACCATAACTCGGAACATTCCCTCTTCTTCCTTCTTTCCCCCCAGTTTTATTGCTGAGCATAACATCATACAGTATAAAAAGGTCCTTTGGTCAGTTTGAATCAGTTCTGGTTTTGTCCTCTCTCAGCTTCTTGTGCATTCCCAGCCTCCTTGCTGGCAGGGCAGCATGAGATGCAAAGACATTAATGCTGTGTAAGCACTGCTCAGCAGAAACTAAAACATTAATGTGTTAGCAATACTGCTTTTCATGACAAATCCAAAACACCTCACCATGTTTGCTACAATGATGAAAACTAACTCTAGTCCAGCCAAAACCAGTACACCAATATAGATAGCAGATTTCAGGGGAAGCTTTTTCTTTCAAAACCTGAAAGAAATTTTATTAGGAGCCAAGACAACAGTACTTCTACTCCATCAACTTGTGGACTTTTGCAGTCTGCCTTCACATGATGAAAATAAATGACACGATGGAAACCTATAGATATGACCACTATTTGTCATATGTTGAAAGAAATTATACTTTCTATTACTGTATAATTGATACGATTTTGGGAGACAATAATTCATCATGGTGTAGAGGGAGAAAAGAGGAGTTTTTCCACCCAGTCCAAATTGTAATTCACTTGCATGTAGTTCAAATGACAGCCCTGCATTTAAAGTGAGGACAAGAATAACCTCTCGTTTAATTTGTTATCTCACAAAGTGCTACCTAGCATTAATTCTGGCTCTCACATTCTATGTGACAAATAAGAATATCCAAAAGATTAAACACAGCTTTGATGATCTTCTTGCAGTTCAGTCTCAATTCCTAATAATCAAAATTCCTAATACACTGAAGTGTATCCGCGAGGAGTAACATACATTTGAGAAAAGATCTTTAAACAGTTTTAATAAGAAAATATCATGGTTGAAAAATTACCTCAGTTTAAAAAAAAAAAAAAAAAAAAAAAAAAAGGAAAAAGAAGCAATGAAACTATTTAGAAATAATAATAAAAAAAAAGTGCCCAGGTAGTTAGGAGAAGCTTGAAAAACTGTCTAACCAAGATAATGCTTGTATTTCTTCTAAATATGTAATCACTTTTCTGCAAATAAACAAAACTTATGAAAACTAATTTTAAATGCAGGTTGTTCTGGTTCTGATAGTACATGATTAGCATTTTATGAACAGGGGAGTACGTCCAAAAGTATTCAGTACTGCTCAGCGATCTTGATCAGGGTCCCGTCTCTTCAATGTCGTCGTAAACTGTGTCTTCAAGACCAGGGAATGAATCTCTTTGAGTCTCAGATGTCCTGTTTCTTGACACATTAGAGTCTGAAAACATGAAGGGAAGAACACAGACAAATGCACATTCTGTATGTTTTACCTCTACACAGTTGTGCAGCTGAAAATGTGGGTTGGCAGTTGTCTCCTTTAGAAAAACTTGAGAACAGTTTTTACATTCTGCCTCCTGCTACACGTACACATATCCAAGGATCAAGCATACTTTTCTCAGATCTGATCTAATAATAAACATTTTTAATAAAGGCAATCTGTATTCAATAACACAAAATAACCCGATTCAGTGCTTTACCACCTCAAGGGTTAAAAAGCTTTTTTGCTATCTTTATCTGACACATAGCAAATTTTGAAGATTTATTCTTCCCATGAATACGCCCTGATTTGGATCCTCCCAAGGAAACCAAGGTATGGATATAGATTACCTGCAAGGGTTGTGAGAATATTGTTACTGAATGTCTGAAAGACCAGACAAACATCTAATTGGAAGAGTGTAGGAAGGTAGTGTTCCTTCCTTACAGTGGTTAGATAAATCTAGGTGATCTCTTGCGGTATACTCCACACTGATTTCCCCTGAGTTCAGCACAATAACTATAGGTTATGAAAATTAGCAGCACTGCTCTTCTGGACTCACCTGTCCACGAATACCTGTTTCCATCACTTTTGTCCAGAACTCCAATGATTTCTTGCTCATTCTTCCCTGGAAGGGAAGCATCTTTAGATCTAGGATCTTCTGTCACATCATCATAACCGTCTTCCAGGGTATTTCCAGGCAGTAGTGGGACCTCTGGAATGATACTGGTATTAACTGTAAAAGGGAGAGAACTTCCACTGGAGATAACAGTAGCTGACAATCCAAAGATAAGGGTTTGCAATACTGACAGTACCGTGATGAAAATGAATGATAAGAAATTAAGAATCCTCCTGAGAGCTCTAAAGTATTCCAGATGACAGTGATATAGCTCCAATAATTGTTATACATTGTTGTAACAAGTACAAAACAGAAGTCAATATGGAGGATGAACGTGAAAGGGGGAAAGGTCTGGAAGAATGCAGCTGGTGATAAGGTAAGCTTCCCTATTACATTTAATAATTACAAAATAATAAGTTTTCCTTGTTTATCTCTGTGTATCACTACTTCTGTGAGTAGTGAGCGCTCTGATTTCTCAGGGGTAGGTAGCTCTGTGATCTGGACATACCTGGAAGTCATCCCTCAAAGAATCTTAGTTTTCACTGTTTTATGGTATATACATACACAAACACACATACATGTAAAACATGTATGAAATGAAAGCAAATCAATGTGCTCGCATTTCCTTTTTTTTTTTTTTTACAATATTCAACATTCAATGTGAATTAGAAAAAAAGAGATCTCATTTGGAATAATTATCTTCTTGGTGAAAACTTCAAAACAAGTAAGAAAAATAAAAGCTTTTAGTTTAAATAATTAAAACCCTAAATATAGCGAACACAATAAAATATATAAAAACATAGCACAGCAGAGAGTTAGGGATGTGGGCAGCTGAAGTCCACAACTGGTTGGGCCTTTGACAATTGATATCTCTGAGGGCAATATTAAAATGAGGTTTTTGATCTGCACTAGGAAAATGTAGTAATTCTCTAGATACTTCCTCTCCCTTTCGGGGAGCATTTTCCATTTTCCATTGTCAAATAGAAACAAACAAAAAAAGAAAAACACCACCAGCAAAACCATACCTGGAAGACTGCATTTTTCATTGGGTCACTGGGCTGAACATTTCTTGTTCAACTCCAGCAGTATGCCACCCACAGCATGTTTTTTCTCTGTCTTAATTCCCCACATTTATCTCAGAAATGAAACAATAGTTTGCAACTTATTACAGTTACTATTCCTGGGAGAAGCAGTTGCCAGATTAGAGGCAGACTGGGCTGCAGTAACCATGCTCTGGTTGAGTTTGTGATTTTGAGGAATACAGGCCTGGCAAAGAGCAAAGTCAGGATCTGAACTTCTGAAGAGTGAACTTCAAGCTATTTAAAGACCTAGTAGATGAGAACACCATTCCCCTGGAACACCATCCTTAGGGACAAAGGAGCTGAGCAGAGCTGGCAATTCTTTAAGGATGTTTTCCTTAGTGTGCAAGAACTCTTCATCCCCCTGCATAAAAAAGTGGGCAGGGAGGGAAGACAGCCCTCAAAAGTAGAAAAAAAGAGAAGTCTGGCACTTTTATACAAGATTGTATGACACATTTCCACCACAAAAATTAAAGAGAATTTTTTCACTTACTATCTAACATTATTAATGAACATGAAGTTCAGGAAAAAAAAAAGAAAAAAAAGTGTTTTAATAATCAATAATGCTTTGGAAATTAAAAGCTAGAAGTGTCTCTTTCATTGTAGGATCTCCATTACATTACCTTGAGTTGCTACAGGACCAATGAGAAAGTGTGCAATCAGAGTAAACTTTCCTGAGCTGCTAAATTGCATCATGAGGAAAACAGACCAGGATCAATAAGGCTGCAGATCTAAGTCAAGTAACTTGAGGTTGAGTATGGCTGATTGTATGGATTATACATACATTCAGTTTATTGCTCTCCAATGCAGCTGTTTGCTAAGGCAGCTATGGTTATGTATAGGGATAGCAGGGGAGGTATCTAAATAGTTCTGAAGGATAGGCATGAAGAAACAAATTATATTACTTGTGATTGGAGGCTGAATGCATACAGATAAAGTATAGGCAATGACAAAACAAAACAAAACAAAACAGCCAAATAACCCCAAACATGCCAGTTCATAGAATGTATGAATCAGCCAAAAAAAAACCAACAAACATCCAACCAACCAAAACAAACAAACACACACACACACAAAAACAAAAACAAACAAACAAACAAACAAAAAACAACTAAACAATGCATGATACAATGTACAGGAAAGTAACCAAATGCATATAAGAGGACTGGTAGCCTGGGTCTGTAAATTCAGGAAGCCAGTCAAACCTGACTGCATTCTTTCTGATTGTAGCACATAGTCTATACTGCCATTTGGAAGAGTGCCTGTAGTCTTCAACAAAACCTGTAGCAAAGATAACCAAGTGAGCTAAGGTGCTTCTCTGGAGGAGAAGCAGATTCTTGGGCGGTCAGTATTATTAGTCCTTAAGGGCTTACACTGAAATAGATAAGAATTCTTCTGGAACTCATAGGGAAGGCAAGCCGTAAAAGCAGAAAGCAATCAACAGAAGGAAGCCTATAGACACATGTGGCTACCAGAAGGGGGATACAGATTATTGGTTTATTTGTTCCTACTTTAAACAATTGCAACAAAAGCTTTTTTTCTTTTTCTTTCCTTTTCTTTTTTCTTTTTTTTTTTTTGGTGGGGGAGGGCGGTGACTGGACAGACAGGAGGTGGAGGCATATTGTTCTGTGCTTTATAGCTGCAGTGGGGACAGCACAAAATGAATTGTCCCTTGAAGAGGAACTATTACAGTCCACTGGTCAGAAAATACTTCTTTTCAACTCAAGGAACTGTTCAGTTTTCTGGTAGATTTGGGAACTGCAAAGTTTCAGACTGGGATTTGGGCCTCCAGAAGGAGTTATCCTCAATTTATTTTCTCTTGATAAGAACAAGGCACACAGACCTGAGAGGTGAGTCATCCCCTGCTTTTCTCTCATCAGATTATAGTCAATGTCCTCATAAACAGCCTCAGAGAAGGGGTCATATGATACTCTGGAGCCTGAAAGTAAAACACATGATCACTCACACAGTCTCTGTTCATACTTAGGTTGGGGTAATGAAAATGAATGACATAAAGGGGTCTACACGGCCTATTTACTACCCAGAAAGTCACAGGAAGGTGCTGTCTGAGAATAAACTTGGAGAAAAAGTTTATCTTGACAAGGGGACGGTAGATATTGGATGGGGAAGCAGGTGTGTTAACAAATCCATTTGATTTATTCTGTCTCTGTGCAGATCTGAGTTTCTTGGTTTAAATGTATGTTTTAATTTGTGTTCTAATAGTTCCTCACTAAGGATACTGAAAACTCTTCTGATGTTTTTGGCACTTTAGGGAAAGGTCTTACAGTCAGAACTGGAGATAACTTCAGCTTCCTGGACATATGCTGAAAATACAATGTAGACCTGAGGAAGCATTCTAAGAGGTTCCTGAAATGTATGGAAGACAGCTTCCTGACTTAGCTGGTTAGTGAGCCTACCAGGGGGGTGCCCTGCTAGACCTGCTGTTCACAAACAGAGAAGGACTGGTGGGAGATGTGGTGGTAGGGAGTTGTCTTGGTCAGAGTGACCACGACATGGTAGAGTTCTCTATTCTTGGTGAAGTCAGGAGAGGGGTCAGTAAAACTGCTACCTTGGACTTTCAGAGGGCAGACTTTGAATTGTTTAGGACACTGGTAGGGAGAGTCCCTTTGGAGTCAATCCTGAAGGGCAGAGGGGTCCAGGAAGGTTAGATGCTTTTCAAGAAGAAAGCCTTAAGGGTGCAGGAGCAGGCTGTCCCTGTGTGCCATAAGATGAGCTGGTGGGGGAGAAGACCAGTGTGCTGAAGAGGGAGCTTTTGCTGAGTCTCACAGAATCACAGAATGGCCAAGGTTGGAAGGGACCTCTGAAGGTCATCTGGCTCAAGCCTCTGCCAAGTAGGGTCACCTAGACCACATTGCGCAGGATGGCACTAGATGGGTTTTGAGTATCTCCAGAGAAGGAGACTCTGCAGCCTCTCTGGGAAACCTGTTCCAATGCTCTGTCACCCTCACAGTAAAGAAGTGCCCCCTCATATTCGGCTGGAATTTCCTGTGCTTCAGTTTGTGCCCATTGCCTCTCGTCCTGTTGCTGGGTACAAATGAAAAGAGACTGGCTCTATCCTCTCAACGCCCTCCCCTCAGATATGTATACACATTGATGAGGTCTCCCCTCAGTCTTCTCTTTTCCAGGCTAAACAGGCCCAGTTCTCTCAGTGTCCTTGTATGACAGGTGCTCCAGTCCTCTAAGCATCTTTATAGCTCTCCTCTGAACTCACTCCAGTAGTTCTATGTCCCTCTTGTACTGGGGAGTGCAAAACTGGATTCAGTACTCCAGGTGTGGCCTCACCAGGACTGAGTAGAGGGGTTAGGATCACCTCCCTTGACCTGCTGGCAACACTCTTCCAAATACAGCCCAGGATCCCATTGGCCTTTTTGGCCACCAGGGGACATTGCTGGCTCATGGTCAGCCTGCTGTCCACCAGGACTCCCAGGTCCCTCTCTGCAGAGCTGCACTCCAGCAGGTCAGCCTCCAGCCTGTACTGGTGCTTGGGGTTATTCCTTCCTAGGTGCAGGACCCTGTGCTTGCCCTTGTTGAATTTCATGAGATTCCCCACTGCCCAACTCTCTAGCCTGTGCATGCCTGTCTGAATGGCAGCACAGCTCTCTGAGGTATCAGCCACTCCTCTGAGCTTTTTGTCATCAGTAAACTTGCTAAGGGTGCACCCTGTTCCATTGTCCAGGTCATTGATGAATAAGTTGGGCAACACTGGACCCAGTACTGACCTTTGGGGGACACCACTAGCTACAGGCCTTTAACTAGAATCTGCACAGCTAAGCACAACCCTCTGAGTTCTGCAATTAATTATCGATTCACCTCACTGTCCACTTACCTAGGCCACACTTCCTGAGCTTGTCTATGAGGATGTTATGTAGACAGTGTCAAAAGCCTTGCTGAGGTCAAGGTAGACCACATCCACCACTCTTCCCTCATCTACCCAGCTAGTCATCTCATCATAGAAGGCTATCTAATTGGTTAAGCATGATTTCCCCTTTGTGAACCTATGCTGACTACTCCTGATCACCTTCTTTTTCTCCATGTGCTTGGAGATGAGAGATTCCATCACTTTTCCAGGAACAGGTGAGGCTGACTGGTCTGTAGTTGCCTGAGTCCTCCTTCTTGCCCTTTTTGAAGACTGGGGTGACATGGGCGTTCCTCCAGTCCTCGAGTACCACTCTTTTTCTCCATGACCTTTCAAAGATGATAGAGAGTGGCCTAGCAAACTGGTCTCTGGGAGAAAAATGGAGTTTAGGTCCAGTGGAAGAAGGAACAGGCAACTTGGGGAGAGTACAGGGAAGTTACTAGCATATGCAGGTTAAAAATCATAAAGGCTAAAACCCAACATGAGCTCAACCTGGCCACTGTGGTAAAAGATACAAAAAATGTTTTTAAAATATATATAAACAGTAAGAGGAGGGCCAAGGAGAATCTCCATCCTTTACTGGACATAGTGGGAAACATGACTACTGAGGATAAAGAAAAGGCTGAGATTCTCAATGCCTTCTTTACATCTGTCTTTAATAGTCAGAGCAGTTATCCCTGGGGTACTCAGCCTTCTGACCTGGAAGTCAGATGGGGAGCAGAATAACCCCCCCAAGATTCAGGTGGAAACAGAGACCTGTTACCCTTCCTGGATGGTCCCAAGTCCATGGGACCAGATGGGATCCACCTGAGGGTGCTGAGGGAGCTGGAAGATGTGATTGTCAAGCCATTTTGCATCATCTATCAGTGGTCATGGTCAACTGGAAATGTCTCAGATGACTGGAGACTTGCTAATATGATGCCCATCTATACGAAGGGTTGTAAGGAGGACCCAGGGAACTACAGGCCTGTTAGTCTGATCTTGGTATCAGGAAAGGTTGTGGAACAGATAATCTTGAGTGCAATCACACAGCATGTACAAGACAAGTAGAGGGCCAGGCCCAGTGAACATGGGTTCATGAAAGGCAAGTCCTACCTGACCAACCTCATCTCCTCCTATGACCAAGTAACCCACCTGGAGGATGAGGGAAAGGCTGTTGACGTAGTCTACCTAAGTTTCAGCAGGGCCTTTGACATGGTCTTCCATAGTATTCTCCTGGAGAAGCTGGCAGCCCATGGTTTGGACAGGTATACTCTTTGCTGGGTTAAAAACCAGCTGGATGGCCAGGCCCAGAGAGTGGTGGTGAATGGAGTGAAATCCAGCTGGTGACCAGTCACCAGTGGTGTTCCCTAGGGGTCGATGTTGTGGCCCATGCTCTTTAATATCTTCATTGATGATTTGGATGAGGAAATTTAGTGGTAGGGGGATGCTTGGACCAGATGATCTTGGAGGTCTTTTCCAACTGTAACGATTCTATGATTCTATGATGCTATGGTTCTATGATTCTATTTGTCTGAGATCTAATGTGTTGGCTGTAAATTTTCCAGTTGCTGCAGTCATCCAAATCTCCTGTCCTCTTGTCTCTATTTCTCTCTGCACAAACAGGTCACTGCAAGACCTGTACAGAGCAAGACAGGGTGCAAGTGTCTTAGTGGCTGTCCTGGCTGCTGCCAGTTCCCAGTTGCACTGGTGGATTATTTCACTTCCAGAGGGTAAGTGCAAATTTCAGTGTGGCAGCAGGTATCATTCACCTCAGCCACCCATCCTCCCAGCTGCCCCAGCCAATTAGCACTTGCCAGCTTCTTCAAGGAGGTATTTCATAACAGTACTGAGGGACACACCTTTCTTCTGTGCCCTGGCACTTCGGATCTGTCCAGCGAGAATGGCAAGGACCAGGCAGAGAAGAGCCCCCAGAATAACACAAACGATGACAGGTGCTGAAATTCTCACATTTTGTGTCTCTGGTTGGCGGGGAAGATCTGAATGGAAACAGAGAAGCAACAGGTGGAGAATCAGGTGATCCAGAAGCTGCTCCTCTGGAGCCTCCTGCTGTGCCCATGGTAGCAGGGTGAAGCAGGTCACCTGCTGCCTAGCTGTGGGTCCTGCTCAAGCAAAGAGCATTCAGCAGCTGGGGATGGTGCCATTCAACCATCCTTTACAAAAGACTAAGTGAGATGCTTTCTCATGAGCTGGAATATATTGCTCTTTTACCCCCTATGCAGTATCAGGGACATTAAATTCTCATTTGTAGGGAGAAAGAAAGGGGGGAAGAGGAAATATTTTACCTGCTCTAGTGGATGATGTTGTTCCTGGCACACCTATGAAAGGAATACAAGTCTAGGTTAAGGAATAGGTAAGTGTGAAAAATAGGAAGAACATCTTCACATCATTTGTGAGGTTCTTGCAGTCAGAAGTATGAAGGGGCTAGTCACTTGGATGTACATCTACCTCCTCTCCTAGTCTGTGTAATGAACCAACGGACCATTTACTAACCTGAGCAATCCACAGCAGCGTCCTCCTTATGATCACAACTTTTGCCAAACAAGGGCTTGGAAGGACAGTCCCAGAGAGACAGTTCTGTTCCTTTACAGTGGATCTTCTCCAACCAGATGGGACCAGTCCCTTCTCCAAAGGCAGCTTCACTCAGAGCGGACACAGCAGACCCACAACCCAGCTGCCTGCATACCACATTAGCATCTGCTATATCCCAGGAATCATCACAGATTGTTCCCCAAGAACCGTGGTTCCAAATCTCCACTCTTCCAGAGCACACATCCTCTCCTCCTACAACACGTAACTTCTCCCTGTCTGCAAAACAAACATACTTCTGTGTTGCTTGAACAGCAGGAAGGTCCACAGGGACCAATAAGAAAAAACAAAGTAGAGGTACCTGAGCAACTTGTAGAATTTGGACACTCAGCAGTAGCTGGAGTTGCTGTCCCTTTTCTTCCTGCAGAAATTAAATATTGTAAATAAATCATTAGATTATTCTAAAAAAAGTGAAGTTACATAAAATGCCTGATCATTAACTCACCACTGTAAGGCTGGTGAGGCACTGGAGCAGGTTGCCCAGTGAATCTGTGGATGCCCCATCCCTGAAGGTGTTCAAGGCCAGGTTGGATGGGACCTTGGCCAATCTGGTCTAATGGGTGTCATCCCTGCCTAAGGCAGGGGGCATTGGAACTAGATGATCTTTAAGGTCAAACCATTCTATGTTTCTATGATTAATCATCAAGTTCATTTTTTCCTGTAATGTATGCATGGAGTATTTAATACTTGCTGGGTTTGGCTATTGCTTTAAATAAAAAAAATATTCCTGAAACTCTCTGAGGACTTTGCTTTCTTTCCTCTCAAAGTGCCTTTCAAGAGATCTGAATGTTATCTAAAATTCGTGTATATTTCAGTGGGAACCCACAGATATGAAATACTATCATAAGAGCAGACACCAGAAATGGACCTTTAGAATTGAACTAAAGTACACTTGTACATGTTTCTGTGCATTCACGTTTCTACATGCACTGGTATGCGTCCATACATGTATGCATACATGCCTCTAGACTTCTTGAGAAATCTGATCTTATCTCAGATCTCACAGACTAACTGCATATCACAGACTTTTAATTTACAGATATGCAATGGCACCATGCTATCAGGATCTTCCCTTGGATTTCAATACTCATATCATTTTAATTAACTAATTTACAACAGGAATTAGACAAAAATGTTTGTACCATTTTCATGAAACTAAGAATTATATAAACTGGAAAACAATTGAACATGTTGTAAGTACTACAATGTCCACATATGCATGCACAGGTTTCTGTATGTTTGGGAGGTCCTGTACAGATACATTTGTAGTTACCAGTACAAGAAATATGGGTCTCTTCTGCTCGGTTATCACATGACTGAGGATCCCAGGGGTCTGACTGACAATGCCAGAGAGAGCTGTGTTGCTTATTGCAGTCAATGTGGTCCAACCACGTGGGCCCAGAACCTCTGCCGTATTTGAAATCTTTATCAATTTCCCCGCCATCTCCACAGTTCAGGTGTTTGCATGCAGTTATTGCAGTCAGTTGAGACATATGATTGGAACAAATGCTCCCCCATGTTCCATTGTAGAAAACTTCTAGCCGTCCAGCACAGTCATTGCCATTCACCAACCTCAGATCCAAGAACTCTTAAAAATAAAGACATAAAATTGGAATTAGAGGGGCATGATTCAGCACACATTTCATTGTTCTGTTTCCAGAGACCACTCAGTAAGTAAACCCTGCTCTTCAAACAATAAGGGCCACTTCCCTAGGGATTTTGACTGTTGTAGTCTTCGCAATCCAAGAATCCCCAAGGCTGGCTGGTATTTTATCATCCAACCGAGCTCAGCATATATGTTTTTCTTCAGTGCTCCTATGAGATAGTCCTGGTTATAAATAAGCTGGTCACACATTTTTCTGGAGATGAGGAAGGTGAGGATGCCATAAATCCCAACAGACCCTTTTTCTGGTGTTTTTTAGGACAGTTTTAAGGAAAAAAGTTGAGGCAGCTAGTCAGCTTAGTTACTGTGTTCATCTTAAGTTGCCTTTGAATTTGGGATATGTACATTATTAGCCTGACGTTAGGTCTTTCTTAAGTCTTTCTGCTCAAGCATCTGTTGTACTGCTTTCCATACTTCTGCTTAAAATATTTTTCCTAACTGCTGCCAATTACCACAATTTCACTCATTAAGCCATTTCCATACAACATTACTCACTGTCCAGGATTCTGTATTTACATATACCCTAGCCCATTGATGCTTCTGAGTATATTCTAAGGCTATTTTCAAAGCCTTTCAAAGTTCTTCAAGCCTCCTCCCAGATGGCAGCTTCTCCTGTAGAAGTGTTCCAAGGATTTCTGTCTCCTGTTTCGTGCTATGCTGTTACAGGATCCACCAGTAAACAAACTTTGTTCTTTATTTTCAGTACTTATTTCATCATACGCTAGAGCTTCAACAGCCAAAGGTGTTTGGCCTTCCTCACATTATTGATTTGATGGCCATTTACTTAATAAATTCAGCTAATCCTGATCTGGAGCTTGAAACAATATGTAAAGATTGGCTAAGGGCTAGGACACATTTTTGCCGTGTTATGGTGGTTGTTCTTCCCTCAGTTGTTTTGAATCCTTGAACATAAAATTCGGGATAGCTTATGGAGGGCATAATGACAGTGGCTGCTCTGCACTCCAACACTTCTGTGATGCTCAGACACCCTCTATATATGCAGCTAGGAACTCTTGTTCCACTAGAGAGAATTTATTTTCTGCTCTTTTGTGGTTCAGATTCCAGGGTTCCAAGTGTCTCTCTCATCTCTTCAGAGGCTGATTTCCACAAACTCTGTATGATATGCCTCTTTCCTGCACATGTATTTATTTTTTCTATTTTTACATTACTACCTATGCAAATTAGTCCTAATTTGATGGCATGGGCTATCTCCTGTTGATTAGCTCCAAAGCTCAATGGTGTTCTTCTTACTTTTAATATATATATATATTTTTCAGATCACTTAAGATGCATGTTTGGTCAATTGGCAGCAACAACAGATGTGCATATTCCAATACAGTAATGCCCAAGAAGGCTTGTGTTTCTTGCTTATTGTGTCTGTGGTGCTTATCCAAGCAATTTGGTCAGCTGGGATGTATCTTTATTCATAGTGCATGTCTAAAACCTGCATTTTTTGAAAGTCCCTTTTTGCTTTGGAGACCCTAATGGTAAATCTAGCACCAAGAAAAGTGATGATTACCTGTTGCCCTTTACTTAGTACTTCTAAAGTAGTTTATCCCATTATCAGCAGAGAAAAAGTTCTTTGGAGATCTCTTGCTTTAAAGTCTGATGGATGATGACATGGCATATAGTAAGGAATATTTGGACCCTTCAGTCAGGTGGTTCCAGCTGTACTGGACACCATTCCAGGTGAAGGCAAACTAAGGTCTTCTTTCTTTGATGACTGGGATTTTTTTTTTTTTTAAGCATTTGCAATACCAATTATAGCATATCAGGTATATTTTTGGGTTTCTAGGTCATACAAGAGCTGCAATATGTCTGGAACTGTAACAGTTAATGATGGTGTGATCTCTTTCAAAGCTTTAAAGTCTACTGTAAACTAACATTTTCTAACAGGCCTCCATACAGGTCAAGCAGGAGTGTTGTAATTTGACTGTTGTTTAAGACCATCACTTTTTTTTTTTTTTTTTCCCAGGGAAATAATTAATTTTGGGTTTTCATCAGTGGTTCCTTGGTCAGTTTGATGATCCTTTCAGCAAATTACTTGGGTTGCCAAGACACTGATGCCTGAGTCTACCTACACAAATTCAGCAACACTGGGGTGTAAATAGAGTCCTGGGGAGTTTGGTAGCTAGTTCTTCCCTCTGCAAGCTACACTGCCTATTTCAAAATATCCTAGGCCTTCCTGTCCCATCCATCTAACTACAGTGGTCAAGAAAGACAATGCCAAATATGGCAGAGGCAGTAGGACCAGCTACAATAAGTAAGGTGTGCCAAATCCATTTATTCAAACTTAAGACTTCCTTCCTCTGAATATGGCCATGTCTCTCCTCCAGTCCCCTCCATGAATGACTACTTGTTTAGCACGGCTACATCCTGACTCCAGAATGGTGTATATCACAGAATCACAGAATTGTCTAGGTTGGAAGAGACCTCAAGATCTTCGAGTCCAACCTCTGACCTAACATTAACAAGTCCTCCACTAAACCATATTGCTAAGTTCAACATCTAAACGTCTTTTAAAGACCTCCAGGGATGGTGACTCCACCACTATCCTGGGCAGCCCATTGGAATGCCTCACAACCCTTTCAGTAAAGAAGTTCTTCCTAAGATCCAACCTAAACCTCCCCTGGCGCAACTTTAGCCCATTTCCCCTCATCCTATCACTGGGCACATGGGAGAAAAGACCAACCCCTACCTCACTACAGCTTCCTTTAATGTACTTATAAAGAGCGATAAGGTCGCCCCTGAGCCTCCTTTTCTCCAGGCTGAACAAACCCAGCTCCCTCACCTGCTCCTCGTAGGACTTGTTCTCCAGACCCCTAACCAGCTTCGTCACCCTTCTCTGGACTCTTTCGAGCACCTCGATGTCCTTCTTGTAGCGAGGGGCCCAAAACTGAACACAGTACTCGAGGTGCGGCCTCACCAGAGCCGAGTACGGGGGGACAATCACCTCCCTAGCCCTGCTGGTCACACTGTTTCTGATACAAGCCAGGATGCTGTTGGTCTTCTTGGCCACCTGAGCACACTGCTGGCTTATATTCAGCCAACTATCCACCAATACTCCCAGGTCCTTCTCTGCCTGGCAGCTTTCCAATCACTCATCTCCCAGCTTGTAGTGCTGCTTGGGATTATTGCGCCCCAGGTGCAGGACCTGGCACTTGGCCTTGTTGAACTTCATACAGCTGTCCTCAGCCCATCGGTGCAGCCTATCCAGATCCTCCTGCAGAGCCTTCCTACCCTCAAGCAGATCGACACATGCACCTAACTTGGTGTCATCTGCGAACTTACTGAGTATACACTTGATCCCCTCATCCAGATCACTGATAAAGATATTAAAGAGGACTGGCCCCAGCACCGAGCCCTGGGGGATGCCACTAGTGACTGGCCTCCAACTGGATTTGACTCCATTCACCGCGACTCTTTGGGCCTGGCTATCCAGCCAGTTTTTAACCCAACAAAGCGTACACCAGTCCAAGCCATGACAGTTTCTTGAGGAGAATGCTGTGGGAAACGGTGTCAAAAGCCTTGCTGAAGTCAAGGTAGACCACATCCACAGCCTTTTCCTCATCCACCAAGCGCGTCACTTTGCCATAGAAGGAGATCAGGTTCGTCAAGCAGGACCTGCCTTTCATAAACCCATGCTGACTGGGCCTGATCGCCTGCTTGCCCTGCAAGTGCTGCATGATGACACTCAGGATAATCTGCTCCATGAGCTTCCCTGGCACTGAGGTCAAACTGACAGGCCTGTAGTTCCCTGGGTCTGCCCTCCGGCCCTTCTTGTAGATAGGCGTCACGTTTGCTTGCCGCCAGTCAACTGGGATCTCCCCCGATAGCCAGGACTGTTGATAAATGATGGTAAGCGGCTTGGCCAGCTCCTCCACCTGTTCTCTCAGTATCCTCGGGTGGATCCCATCTGGCCCCATCGACTTGCATACATCCAAGTGCTGTAGCAGGTCGCCAACCATTTCCTCATGGATAGTGAGGGCCACATTCTGCTCCCTGTCCCCTTCCACCAGTTCAGGGTGCTGGGTATCCAGAGAGCAACCAACTGGTTTTGCCGATAAAGACTGAGGCAAAGAAGTCATTAAGCACCTCAGCCTTTTCCTCATCTTTTGTAACTAAGTTCCCCTCCCGCATCCAGTAAAGGCTGGAGATTCTCCTTAGTCCTCCGTTTTGCATTGATGTATTTGTAAAGAAAATTTTTGTTGTCTTTGATGGCAGTAGCCAGATTGAGCTCTAGATGAGCTTTGGCCTTTCTAATTTTGTCCCTGCACTGCCTCGCAACATCCTTATAGTCCTCCCTAGTGGCCTGCTCTCTTTTCCAAAGATTGTAAACCCTCTTTTTCCTCCTAAGCTCAAGCCACAATTCTCTGTTCAGCCAGGCTGGTCTTCTTCCCCACCAGCTCATCTTTGGGCACGGGGGACAGACTGCTCCTGTGCCATTAAGATATCCTTCTTGAAGAGCACCCAGCCTTCCTGGACTCCTCTGCCCTTCAGAACTGCCTCCCAAGGGACTCTACCAACAAGTGTCCTGAACGGTTCAAAGTCAGCCCTCTGGAAGTCCAATACTGGTCCCCTTCCTCGCTTCTCCAAGAATGGAGAACTCTACCATTTCATGGTCACTCTGCCCAGGACAGTTTCCAACCACTACATCTCCCACCAGTCCTTCTCTGTTTGTGAACAGAAGGTCTAGTGGGGCATCTCCCTGGGTAGGCTCACTAACCATCTGTGTCAGGAAGCTATCTTCCATGCTCTCCAGAACCCTCCTAGTCTGCTTTCTCTGGACTGTGTTGTGCTTCCAGGATATATCTGGGAAGTTGAAGTCCCCCATGAGAACAAGCTCTGACAATTTCGCAAGTTTTGTCAGCTGCCTGTAGAATTCCTCACCTGTCTCCTCATCCTGGTTTGGCGGTCTGTAACAGACCCCTGCCAGGATGCTTGCCTTGTTGGCCTTCCTGCTGATCCTAACCCATAGGGACTCAACCTTATCATTCCCATCCTCAAGCTCCACGACATCAAAACTCTCTCTGATATAGAGAGCCACACCACCACCCCTTCTGTGCTGCCTGTCCCTTCTGAAGAGCCTATAGCCAGACATTCCAGCACTCCGGTCATGAGAGTGGTCCCACCACGTTTCCATGATGGCAACCAAGTTGTAGCCTGCCTGCTGCATGATGGCTTCCAGCTCCTCCTGTTTGTTACCCATGCTACCCAATTGCATGCGGCAATTGGCTGAGGGGGTCACTTCTTGAACAACAGAGCATCCCAGCAGATAATATCAGCAGGGAATTACTGTGCCTTGCCTTTGTACTCTTCAAGCCATAACATCAGTGATCACAATCCTTTCAGTGTCGCTTTCCTCTTCCCTGTAAGCACATTCAAGAGCCCAAGAAACTGCAGTGGATTATCCCCTTCTTCACAGTCCTTTCTACATAGGAAACAAAAGTGTGTTGTTTGTAGGACCATCAGAATTAGGCACTGCTCAACATAACTCTCCATAAACTGAACCTAAAGACATACTCCACTATACAGGATGGTGTTGACAAATAGCTTAGGCCCTGAACACCCCAAATTCCTGCTCTCTTAAGCTTTCAGCTGTATCACATCAGATCTGGTTTCCCAGCAATGCTATATCCACTGCAGAGGCCTCTCCCTAGAGCAGTGTCAGTAAGTTTCCTCACATTTCTTTAATTTGACTCAAGTAAAGACCCACTGAGTGGTCACACTCTAGGTCACACTCTAGGTCACACTCCCTTTTCTGTAGATTTCTTTAGTTACTCTAACAAGAGCTACCTGAAAGGACAACTTGAGTTACTACAAGTTAGTCCAGTCCCAGGGCATGCCATTTTGTTGCTGGAGTGTCTCCTGCACTTACCATCTGCTATCACAGGCAAAACAGTTCCTACTTGGGAAATCTTACTTAATAGTATTTGTTGCCACTTACCACAATCTTAATGATTGTTTTGGGTTTTGAGGGGGAAAAAAAAGATCAATTAAACAGATACTTGGGCAGAGGCACCATGTACTCCTCTGACTGGTTGATGCTTTGGTGCACAGTGGGTTGTTTCTATCAGTTTCAGATCCGGCTGTAACTGACTGTAAATGGCACATGACGGTTGATGACCTCCTTCCAAGAAGGCAGACACACATCCTATTGCTTGGGAACCCTCTCAAATTATCACAATACCCCACCATACACTTTGGTGTGTGTGTCTGTTAATGAAAAATAAGGACTTCAGTACACCCTTTGTATTTTGATGGGATACAAGATGTGCTGTCCAGCCATGCTTGCAGTCAAGACGGAATAATAGGCTGTCCAAGAAAGACTACCAAGTCTCGGCTTCCCTCTTCATATCCCTTCTCTTCCAACCCACAGTCTAAAAAAAAAAGAGTCTCTGAACACACCTGAGCACAGGACTCCAGCATCCTCCTTGTGTTGGCAGTTGTGCTGACCCCATGCCCTGGAGGGACATGCCCAGAGACCAGATTCAGCCCCGGTGCAGTTCACATCATCCAGCCAGATCTGTCCTGATCCTTCACCATAATGAGCAGAGACAAATGCCTTGATGGCATATCCACATCCCAGCTGTTTGCAAACAACATTTGCATCTGATAGATCCCAGTTATCATCACAGATTGTGCCCCATATGCCATCATGATAGATCTCCACTCTCCCAGCACAGCGTTGTGTCCCATTCACCAGCCTGATCTTCTTGCTCTCTGCAGGAAGAAAAACCTGATATCAACATGCAGTATAATAATAATGCACAAGTCAGTGTAATGGCTGTATATTTAAAGCACCTTTAAGGCATCATGTTCTTGTTACATTCCAGTATTTTTATTATGGTTTCTTGGGCAGAAATCCTATGAAGCTAAAACCACATGATAGAAAAGGACAAATCCTGCAAGAGGTAAATGTTTAAATAATTCCTATGGGATGCTGCAAAAGTGTAGGAGTGTACCAAAGGGGTTGGAGTGTATCTCTACAGATGTATGTAGAGATCACCTTATCTTGTATGAGAAGCTGTTTTCTGCTTCAACATTCCTGAAGAAAGCTCATGGGCTGAGATAAGGACAGGGAGGTCACTCACCAGTTACCATCACGGGCACAAGAGGTTTAACTTGGGGAAGATCAATTTAATTTATTGCCAGCTAATAACAGATTAGAGCAGAGAGAAATAAAAGCAAACTAAAAATAAGAGAAGCTGTTTTCTAACTAAACTCCTTTGTTTCAGGAATACTTTCTGCAACAGATAAGTTACTAAATAAGAAATGTAGCAACAGTTCTATTTTAAATGCATGCTTAGAAAGGCTGCATGTGTCAATACATATAAAGAAAAGTCACAAAACCAAACTTATTTAATTCCCGAGTGTCAGTCAGAATGCATGGTAGCCATGGACAAATTAGTATTCTTATGACTTCTGTACTACATTATTTCTTTTCAATTCTGTGATCTAAGTTACTTAAGAAATTTGGGTGAAGAAAGCATTAGGTAAATTACACTTGGTTCATTGACCATATTTTGTCCCTTAGAGTATACAAGCAGGTGGGTCACCAGATCCATGCCTGTTTAAGATCTGGTGAGACCACAGCAAAAGGCTGGTCAGAGGTAACCCTGGAAAGCATTCTGATTCTTTTGTATTGCAGTAACTCACCTGAACAAATCACGCCAACATCTTCAGCAACTCCTGTTGGCAGTGCCTGAGAATGGGAGGTCTTGCAGAGCACCAGTTGAGTCTCATTTCCATCACACTGGACACTTCTTAAGCCCACAAGACCGATGCCTCTCTCAGACCTTGGAAGGTAATAGGCTTTCTTGGCTATTCCACACTGGAGTTGTCTGCACACCACAGTAGCATCCTTAATGCTCCAGTCATCATCCAGGACTCTACCCCACATGCCATGGAGGGAGATCTCAACTCGCCCATCACAGCGGCTCTCACCATCTGAGAGTCTGAGTGAATCAGGAAGGCCTGGGCTCAAGAGATGCGGAAAAGGTATTGAATAATATATACTGATCTTACCACAGTAGACATAACATGTGAGAGAGATGGAAGTCAAATTTCTATGTTGGTGAAAAGTATTTCTCACCACTGGTTAAGGATGAAGCCTGTGTTAAGGCTTTACTTGCCTCCATGCACACAAGATTTTGCTACAGCAAGACTTGCCCAGCTCAAAGGCTAGATCCTATGAGGAATCAGGAACATCTAAATAATGTGAATCCCTCCGGAACAGAATTCTACTAAATGAAGTTCTTATGCTGAAACTGTGGGTGAGAGGGTGGTGGTTTGGTGGTGAGGGAAGGGAAAGGACATTAAACATGGTCTGAGATACTTGACTTAGCAGAATGAGGTCAAGACTGCTTTGGTCTGAAGTTACAGAACATGTAAAAAGCCATTCCTGACTTACCTGAGCAAACAACAGTGGCTGTTTCTCTGGCTGAGCAGGTTGGATTGCCCAAAACCACTCGAGCACAGTCCCACAGGCAGGATTCCGACCCTTCACAGTGAAAAACATCTTTCCATACAAACCCATTCCCATCCACAAAAAGGTCTCCTGTCTCGATTGACTTTGCATAGCCACAGTTCAGCTGACGACAGAGAACGCTAGCATCTTGCAAATTCCATTGGGAGCGGCAGATTCTTCCCCATGTATCCCCATGACGGATCTCCACTCTGCCAGAACATGTGGTGCCATTCACTAATCTGCTCCCTGGACACCCTGAATACGAGAGAAAATCTGAATGTGACTGTGAACTGGGACTGAGTTTTTCTTAGCACTGAGGAGTAGCAAAAATGTCTCCAATAGGACACTAGAACTTTTGTACTTACAACTAGAATTCAGTCTCCCCTATGTTGCCAAGAAAAATGACTAGAAATCAGGATCTGGTCCCCTTTGCAATTTTTAGATTCAGGGCACTAGATTTCAAATCTTTAAGTGAACCTTGATTGCTCTGATCATCCTCATTTCTGTCCCCCAGCTATACACCTTCAGGCCATTGGTCCAAGGGCTCACTGAAGCCTGGGGCAGGCCTTCAGTGCTTGCTTTAACTAAGTGACTGGTGTAACTGTCTCCAGCCCTGTCTCCTGCTGCTCCTGACTGTACTCTCCAGTTAGACCTTAAAGCTGATCGATTACTTTGCCTTGTCTGGCACAGACCTTGTTTTCAGTACTTCTCTCTGTCCTCTGTTCAGATGCTTTGGACTGTGCCCTGGTGGAATGTGCCTGTGCTATCCACACCCTCTGCACCCAGCTGAACCACTCCTGTGGAGTACCCCTTCTCTTGCTGTTGCCTGGCACTAGGAGCATTTCACAGAGACCAGGCTCATGGTGCAAGTGAAGTGCAGCCTCAGCTTCTGGAAATGCCTGTGGCAGCAGGCAAAAGATGGAGCTTGGCTCTGCAGACTCTCTAGATTTTGGGTCCATATCTGTCTCAAAGAAGGAGTTTTTCATTTATCCTCTTAACCTTTACTAGTGCTCACCTGAACACACCACACGAGCCTCATTTCCAGCAGGGCATTCATTCTGCCTTAGCACATTCACAGGACATTCTCTCAAGTGTGAGCCTTCCTTATTGCAGCTGAACGTGCCATTCCATACAGACCCATTTCCTTTTCCAAAGGACTGTCCAGCCGGTATTGATAGGGCAATTCCACAGTCCAAATGCTGGCAGAGGGCATTGGCAGCTGGGAAATTCCACAGGTAGTCACAGAATGTTCCCCACAAGCCTCCATGAAGAAGCTCTACTCTCCCTGAACATGTGGTACTGCCATTTGCCAGCCTGTATCCACCATAGCCTGCAGGAAGAATAAAGGACCTTAGCATTTACATTTTTATTTTCATGCTATTGCACTGAAAATTGAGAGAGATATCTACCAGAATGGAACTAGTACTTTCTGTGTCCTAGGTGACTGGGGAGAATGTTAGACCAGGATTTGCATAAGCCAGCTCTGAAACAAGTCTTTATCATCAATGTTATAGCCTGTACTACAAGACTAAAAGACATGCAAATTCTTGTAGTTCAGTCTCTCTTATTCTGATGTGTCCTCCCCCACAATGCTGCTGCTACTTTGTCAAATCTTTTCTTGCAGAGGGAGTCCCAGCATTATCTTGCTTTTGGCACATGTGAGAAACAGAGTACAAGCTACCAGTAACACTTTCTTAGTAGTGGGTCCTCTCATGTTACACAGTAAGCAGCAGCCGCTCTGTGAAATTCTCAGCTTTCATCTGTGCCACAGCATAAGCACAAGCAACAGGCCATGCCCATCAGTGCATTCACAATAATTTAAGTGTGATATGGGTAGGACTGGGGTGTCCTACTGACAGCCCTACATTGTTCCTCTATCTTCTCACACTGTTGTTACTTACTGTTGCCTCCCCCTTGCATCATACAGCTTCTAATGAGAAATGGATTTCCTCTCAGAGCTATAAATCTTGTAGGACAGAGACAGGAGCCAAGGTATGGAGATGTTCCTCTTCCAATTTTATAATTAACTGAAGTGCCAGGGTTTAGCACACACATTGAACAGAAAATTATTTTTTCCATGTTCCTGGCTGTCTGCTCTGGCCATCTCTCCTTTTATGCATATAAGAAAGACAAGGAAGGAATTCTTATAGAATGCACAAGCCCTTCAGGAAAGGCCTCTAGTAGCATAAGAGAAATTATAATCCTTTTGTGACTCTCCATCCCTGGTGACAAATTGAAATGGTTAGAAAAGGATATGTTAAAGGCAGACTCTTAGTAGAGTGAAAGAGAGACTGTGGGGATGCTCTCCTTTACTTCTGGGCCTTCCCTAAACAACTCAGGCATGATAGAGAAGGAATCCTTAGGACCCCAGAGATATGCAGAGACTCTAAAAGTGAGTTGACAAGAAGACATATAGGATACATGTAACCTGCGTACGAAGTCTCACCTGAACATAGAACATAGGCATCATGAGAGCATGCCTTGGTACGGTCCAACATTCTGGGACAGTGTGCAAGGTGAGTCTCATTCCCCACACAGTGGAACTCTTCTTGCCAGATCAACTCATGACTGTTTCCAAAGTGAAATCCTCTCATGATATCCACAGCGTGGCCACACTTTAGCTCATTACATATAACAGAGGCAGCACTGAAATCAATATGTGAATAACAGACTGTAGACCAGGTTTCTGCTTGCTTTACTTTCAGGTGTCCTGAGCAGGCAGTGTCCCCTCCATCCAGACGCAGCCTAGAGAAACCTGGGGGAGGTGTGGGGGGAGGAGAAACGGGAATAGAAAACAAACAAACAAAAACACAAAGAAATACATCAGAGAAAACAAACAAACAAACAAACAAACAAAACAAAGAAATACATCCAGCATTAATTGTTCATTACACTGACCTAATTTAATCACTCTCATACATCCATAGGCAAGGCACATGGTATTCACATCTCAGAAGACCAGTGACACTTTTAAATAGCCATTGTGGCAATTCCTGTATGCTACTGACAAGAGAAAAAGTGTGTCTCAAGATAATCTTTTCCAACCTAGATGATTCTATAAATCTATACTTATGGGGATCTTTAGCCTCCATGGCACCTGACTGAAAGGCAACATGGTGGAATGGAAGCAGTCCAAGAGATTTCTGTAGGGTGTCAAGGGTGACTTCTTGATTAGGCACTGCATGGGCCAACAAAGAACCACATAGCTATTCAGTAACAGAGAAGAAATAGTTGGGGTTATGGTGATCTTTGACAGCCTTGGCTATAGGTGAAACTGAAATGTGGATTTCCAGATCCTGAAAGCAGTGAGGAAGAGGAGAAGCACAGTGCAAACAGAGCATATTTCAGCCTATACAGGAAACTGGCTAGTGAAATCCCAAGATAAACAACTCAGAAGGGCAGAAGAGCTCGTGAAATCTACAAAAGTCTTTAAGGACATCATTTTCCAAGTGTGAGGACAGTCTACTACGGTATGAGGAAAAAAAGTAGATGGCCTAATAGACTGACTTGTCTAAGCTGGGAGCTTAAAACAACACTCAAATGAAACAAAAACAAAAACAAAAACAAGCAAACAAAAAAAACCACAGGTGTGTATAGGAGGTAGAAGCAGGCAAGACACAAAGGATGAATTCAGAAACACTGACTGGTCATGTAGCTATGACATTCAGAGAGCCAAAGCTCAAACTGAGTTGATACCACAAGAGACATCAAGGAGAAAGAATAGAGATTCTCTTTCCGCCTTTGTAATAAAAGGCTGAACAAGGAAGATACAGGCCTGCTACTGGATGGGGTGAGTGATTTATTGATGGAGAACAGAAAAAAAATGAGGTACTCTGTGCTTTCACAAGCAAGATTTCTCAGTCTATTCTGATTAGAGGCTCAGATCAATGAGGAGATGGACTGCCATCAGATAACTTGAGATAATTTGACCTTCCAGATCCATTGGATGCAATGGGGTGCATTCAAGCTAGTCAATGTTCTTGCAAGGATGCTCTCTAACATCTTGGAATGGTTGTGGGGATTATGTCTATAACAAGAGTAAAAAAGGTAAATGTTGCACTTATCTTCAGAAAGGTTGAAAAGACAATCTGGAGAACTACAGTCAGTCTCAGTTTGGTACCTTAGAAAAACATGGAGAGAGCCATCCTGGAACATATATCTGGGCACAAGAAGATGAAGCTGAAAGAGGAGAACCAGGGGATTCACCAAGATAAACCATGGATAAAACATGCCTGTATGACCTGATTATTTTGTCTGATAAAGATGATTTTGGATGACAGTGAGGGCAGTGCATGATATTTACCTGAAAGTTAGAGCAAAGCCTTTGACACTATCTTGAACAATATTCTTGTGTCCAAACTAGGATGTGACAGTCTTGATGGGTGGACAAATAGATGGGCAAAAAGCTGATTGGATGGTCAGGCTCAGACTGTGTGGGTTGCACTCTACCTGGAGGCTGGCAACAAGTGGAGTACAACAGAGGTTTTTTTTGGGACCTGTTCCATTCAGTATCTTTATCAACAACCTGGAGGTGAAGAAGTACACTATTACTAAGTTGAGATAACCCCAAGCTCAAAGCTGCCATTCAGAGGAACCTAGACAGATAGAGAAATGGGCTGACAAGAACCTTATAAAAATAAGAAAGGCCAAATGTGAAGTCCTAAAGTCAGTAAGGAAGAACCCTTTACAATGGTTCTTTATCCAAGTAGCAAAACCAAACATATCTTGCAGGAAAAGGCAGCCAGGAGACATTGAGTTTCTTTGCCATTGCAGAATCTCCTGACTTTGTTTACAGGAAGATCTAGAGAAGGAGGTTGGATGTATGGCATAACAGCATTTTATTGCTTCTCCATCTCCTTGTTTGTTAGCTTCCTTTTCCGGCCAAAGGCAAATCTAGTCCTGCTCTCAAATTGCCTGGAGGGGTGTTAAAAAGAAATAGTGTTTCTATTTCTATTCTATGTAATTTTCTGTCTATTTCTATTCTGTATCATTGTTGTGCCCAGGCAAAGCAGGCATACGCTAGTGGTCAGCACAAGTCTTAATGATAGTGACTTGCTTGGGTTGAGAGACCATGGAGAAAATGTTACCTCTGTTCTGTTCACAATACTTGACTATTCAGCTAGGACTAAGGTTGACATCAGTTCCTTTGCCTTGTGGAATTTTTCTATTATAAAAGGTTGTATAACTTCTTACCTGAGCATATCACTCCAACATCAAAATAATGAGGGCAGGTAAAGGCATCCCATCCTGTATGTGGGCAGTCCCAGAGAGCAGATTCATCACCACGGCAGTCAACTCGATACAACCACGTTTTTCCAGATCCCTCTCCAAAAGGAGCTCGATTAAGGGCGTGAACAGCAGATCCACATCCTACTTGCTTACAAACAACCTCAGCATCTTTTATGTTCCAGTCACCATCACACACAGTTCCCCACTCCTCTTTATGTTTTATTTCCACTCTCCCAGAGCAGGGGCCAGTTCCATTTGTCAGCCTCAATTCATCATCCCCTTCATACACAGAGAAAGAACAAGGTTATAGAAAGGACAGAAACTTATCACTATTATCTCTTGCAGATGGTTAATGAGATTTTTATTATTTTTAAATTACACTTAAATCAGACTTATTAGGATCACATTTCTAAATAGTCCTATTTAATTTTGTTTGTGTGTTTGTTTATAGTGAGTTTACAAGTCTGAGCCAACCAAACTGCTAAAATTTAAGTTATTCCTAATGACAGGCAAGATTTCTTTCCTCCTGACCTGTCAGAAATGGGAAATGCTAAGCAATGCCCTGCTGTGTGACTCCCAAAGGCTTCTGTAGCAGCTTCTAATTTCTTTTTGTTGTTCTACCATGATGATATCCAATTGAAAATGCTCACTGGGCACTGTTTTCTTTATTCACATGTTCAATATGTTGTGAAGAAGCAATTTCTATCATCCGTCTCAACTTCTTCCTCTCAGACAAACTATTATTTGCAAATAGGTGTCACAAAACTCTTTCGTCTTCCCCTCCTCCCCTGCCATAGCCATTGGGTCCCCTACTCAAGGGTATGTGACAAGAGAAGAGGATGTCTCATAATGACCCATGAGTATGTCATCAAGGGCTGATGATCTGATGATCTATCTTAGGAGATGAAGCGGGATAAGCAGAGATGGATAGGTAGGTCTTCATCTTGTTCCTCATACCCCACCATCTTTTGGGGTGGGACTGATTCCCCCCCAGTCTTCTCTGTTCTGCTGTATTCCCACTGTCTGCTGCTCTATCTCTTTCCACTGATATGGTAATTCCACTAATATTTCAGTCCTTTTAAAAGTGGAACCACAAAATAACACTACCTCTGTGATGATATTGCTGCACTCCCCCAGTTTTCTGCTTATCGTTTAGATTCAGAAACACAAAAAGTTTAAGGGAGATTATTCAAGTGACTGACAAATAGTAACATCAAAGAACTATTTTTATGCTGTCATCTTTTCTCAGATTTCCTGAGTAAAATCTCTCAAATACATAACACAAGCACCTAAGAACTACAAAAAACCTTTGTACTTGTGACGTATTGTCTCAGAGGTAGTATTTTTTTGTAGGTAAGCTTTAGAGCCTCATGAAATATGTTCTGGAGATCAACTTACAATTTGTTTAAAGAATATAGTCCCCTAGACACTTTGTACACTTTAAAAATGTATACATTTTATAGAGAAGTAATTTCTAAGATAAGTTAAAGTCATAATACATTATTAAAGGAACCAGATAACCTATTTCCTTTAGCCACATATGGGAGTAAAACAGACAGCTCCTCACTTGACTGATCTTCTCTTGCATTTTTAAATAATCCAACATTTTGTGTTTTCAACACATGACAGAATGCAAGGCTGTATGCAGAGGAAAAGCTAGGCATACAGTAGCCAACAGATTTTATTCTTCCCTAATTAAAACTGCCATTTACTGTAATCAATATCATGTGATTTTCTGATACCTACAGACATACTCTTTTGTGTTTCCTCACACTCCATAGCATATCCCACAAAGATCTTCATTAAACTCAGTGGTACTAGTCACAGGAAGTGGTTCTGCTTGGAAAAGAAGGCATCACATTTGTGCTTGCTTCATCTGAAGACCTGGGTACCTTCATCAGCCAGGGATGAGGAAGAGGCATGTGCCCCTGTACTCAGACCGTATGTGGAGGCTGCCTCGATCTCAGGATGCCATCTCACTCCTTGATGTCTGTGCCTCTCACTCTATATCCTTCCTGGGGACCAGCAGAGGGCTGTGATAGCACGGAGAGTGTAAGTACAGCCAGAGCCAGACCAAATCATGGATCGTAGATGTTGATGGTGATGTCAAGGTAAAGCTACTCTTGTCTGCATTGCTAGTGAGTCACTCTGCTACTGTTCCCTGTTACTAAAAAAAAGATGGCAGAAAACTCACTCTCCTTTGTACAGTACTGCTGAGTTCACACTCAAACACTGCTACAGAGATGACTAAATAAAAATATTTAATATTTTTGTTCCTTCTCCTTTACACAGAAACCCTCTTCATGGGTTTCTCTGCCTCACAAATGACTGCAAAGGAGGAAATATATAGATTCACATCCTAGCATGCGCTATATGCCTCTTCTTCCCATCCATTTACATCCATACAACTGGAGGGAATCTAACAGACTAGGGGCCTGCAATGGTAAATGAAGTATCAACTATGAAGTCTTATTTTCATTATACAGGGATGCAACCCCCAGACACAATGCCATAATACCACCTCCATGTGTACAGAAACAAAAATGGGGACCCCAAAATCTGGTTCTCATTGTCAGTTTCAAACATCTGCACATAGCTCTACAACAGCAGAGAGACAAATAGCGGTAAACTTCAGATATACAGGAACAACTGAGAGGATAGTACCTCACCCAGTCAAACTCTACAGGACCCACAGAGCACAGCAACATCATTTTAAATGTGATTGAATAAAGACCCAGAGTTATTCACTGCATCTACACAGAGCTCAACAGGGAAGGCAGGACAGTAGTAAAAATACACATCTGGTTTCCATTACAGCTAGACTTTTCACTGAATATGGACTCGAAGTCTGGCGAGAATGTCTGGTCACCGATATCTCAGTAAAATACTGAGACCGGCTTATCCTTCTTTCTCCCAGGATCAGGAAAGAGATTGAATCAAAGAGAACTTCATTTAAACACCTTCTTGACACTTTAGCTTATAGGCAAATGGAGTAACAACCCATTTATACTGAATATACATCCTCTTCTTAGCTCAGTGACTAGTGAAAAATAAAGTACATACTTACCCAGGGAAACCTTTATGGAGAGGAGAAGGAGCCTCAACACTGGAGTAGAAAGATGCCCCATTGTCGCCATCCTTATTGCAGACAGATGAAGCTTCACTCTCTGTTAGGCACTGCAAAGACGAAACCCACTTCATGGGTTTCTCTGCCTCACAAATGACTGCAAAGGAGGAAATATATAGATTCACATCCTAGCATGCGCTATAAGAAGGAACCAATAGAAATATTGTTCACCTTTTTAGACATTATCAACAGATTAATCTCAAATCTGAAAGAACCAAAACCTCCAATAAAATTTGAAAATTGTACCTGTGACCATATTTGAGGGATGTTTGCGCTTCTGATGTCATCATCGATGCCGTATTTTTTTTAACTATGGGTTTGACATTCATGGTACAGGCAGAGCAATAAGTAAAACCATTATTTCTCACCCAATAAAGCATTGTGAAAATGCAGAACATTGGTCACTTTGTGAATCATTTTGGAAGGTAAAAAGGGAAAGAAAATTCGTAAATTTGCAACTCATCAATCTCATTGGGAGCAATTATACTCTCATGATATAATCCCCAAGTGGAGTATCACTGGCGGTAGTTTTGTAAGTAACAAATGACATCCACTCTGTCTTTGAGGCAAGGGCTCTTCAAGTGTTGAAAGAACATCTTCCTTAGTATTAAAATTGTAGGACTTCCTGTATTTTCTGCTGAGTTTCTTTTTGTTATGTATGACCATTTCTGGTAGTTCCGCCTACTCTCTCTTTCACTCTATTTATAACACACACATATATATGTATATAAGTAAAAATAAACAATGAATTTAGGGAATAAAAGCTGCTTCTAATTTTAACTCTGGCTACTTGGCATGTTCTTGGAAACTGGAACAAGTTGCAATGTTCTTTCTGTTTGCACCAATGTGAACACACAGTTTATGACACTGATACATGTGTGGTTGTTACCTGATGGAATCTATCTGATGTTCATCCCAAATCTCAAGTTTAGTGAGATTTAGTTTCATTGGCTTCTCTTAGAACTCTTTTCCTTACTGATTAGTGGCCACGAACAGAATTCTTATTAACATTTGAAACCCTCTAAGAGTGAGATCTGTTCTTCATCATGCAGGCCCTTGATGACCAGAGTATGGCTCCTGGGCATTACAACCAATTAACCAGGTACATGGATGCTATCTACTGACACCAGGATGTTTTTATAGTCAAATGACCAAGAGAAGGCATTTATTTAAGGACAAGATCAATGGCAACATGACAGCATGTCTGCCATCCAGCCTTATGTACCTAGCAGCATTTATGAAGGACCTCAAGGGTATCTTCTCACTTGACCTGGACATGACATATTTCTTTATGGAGAAGTAATCCATAGGTTACCTTTGCACAACTCATCATTACTGTTGGTGTTCTCTGTCTGGATGGAGTGACATTCTGCAATAGCACTGATGGCAGTAGTTACAGGGCCAGCCTGAATATACTGAGAAAATACTGATATAAAATGGCTGCTAAACACTGACAGAAGAAAATAACTGCCAGTTTGGGAACTCAGCCTGGGAACTTGGCCTTTGACTTCAAAACTTGGCCTGGGAACCAGGGACATCCTTGTGGCACTTTAAGAACTGGAGACATTTTGAAGATACCATCGATAAAATAAGAAGTTGAGGAACAACTTATCATCTGAAAAAGTGGGTGGTTCAGAAAAACTTATCATCTGTTTTGTTGTGGATGGGCAGTGAGACAGAAGCTGTATGATGTTTAGGTAACCATTGCTGTTAAACCATCATACTGCCAAGTAGATGCTTCAATATATACTGATGCCCATGCAGCACTCTTGGCTGTCTCATGGTTTAATGACAAACAGAGCTGTCAGTTCATCATGTATGTTTCCTACACTGGCACAGTATACTTGAAGCTAGGCCAGCTCCATAATTAAAGCCCTCTACTGTATCTCAGCTGTTAAGTTATTCACCAGGAATGCTTGTCATCTACATTCCTTATATCACAGCTTCTGTGGCCAGATGTGCACCTTCATGGTAAATACGGTAAAGTAGGTAAGGAATTAACCAGGAATGAAGTCTGCTTCACAGCATATGGAATTTTTGTTGTTTTCATAATGGCAAAATCAGGTGGATTATCTCATGTCGAGGAAAGCAACTTCTGGAGGACCTTAAACCAGGTGAGAGAGATCAGCTCTGCTATTATCCTATTCATGAGACATGTAAAAATAGTAACACGAATGAGTGTTCTTTCTACGAGCACAGCACTTACAACACAAACTTCACTACAAGGCATCATGGTGCAAGCAGAAGGGAAGAGTGGAATTAGCAATATTGTTGCTAAAGTGCAGTTGGAAAATATCTCCAGGCACAGCAGAAAATCCTTCACTTTAAAGGAAAATCTAGAACTTTGTTAGAAGAAAGACTTCTTTGTCTATTCTCTTAAAGAGAACAAACAAACAAACAATCACAATGATTGCTAAGCATCCATTAAAATTTTCTAAGAACACATAAGAACCTCTGGACCTTCATTTGGTGGTCACAAAAAATAAAACATCACTGCTAAGAATGTCTAAGACTTTTCTGTCTTCTGTGCACAGCTCACTTCTGTGGACAAACACCTCTTGTCTCTGGTTGATGTACAACTGAGAGCCAACATCAAGGTAGCAATACAGGAAGTCCTAGGGAGCAGCTCTGAAACTGTGTGTGTGTTACAAGATATGTGTAAGTCAAACTTGAGACATTTGAATTATTACATTTATTTGATGTGATTATCTCAGATCTTGTCCCTAAAAATATTTGCTATAATCAATAGAAAACAAAAGAAATAATATATACTTTCAGGAAATCAGCAAACACACAAACATGTAGCTCCAGAAAGACTTTTCTCAGGTAGCTACTTAAAACATTATCAGTCCTATACAAGATTTAATCTTCTAGAAGACAGCACTTCACTGTAGAGACACAGTAAATACTCTGACTTGCTTTCTTACACACAAATACATCCAGCAAGACCAGAGAAAGGAAAAAGTGGTTTCCCCTAGCTGCCTTCCTCTGGCCCCAACTGATCACTGGTTTCCCCTAGCTGCTTTCCTCTGGCCCCAACTGATCACTTCCCCTCAGGAAATGCAATTCTCATTCTCACTACCAACTTTTCAGCTACGTTTGCAACCTCAGTTGAAATTAAACAGGGACTTCAAAAAAGCATTTACAGAGAACTTTGAAAGCTCTGTAATTCTTTTCCTAATCGTTTGTATGGAATATATAGCTGGTTTCACAATTGACATCATATTACCATAGGTAGTGACTGATGACCAATATTCATTAATAGGAAGAGAAAGCATTCAGGGCTGGAAGTAAGGGGAAGACCAGGCAGACACTGTCAAACCTTCCCTAAAACCCCACTGCAATGCCAGCCTAGGAAGGGAACAGGATCTGTGGTGCTATACAAGACATTTTAAAAGCTGTAATGATGTAAATTACTCAGATACCACAGTCTTATTGTTAGATATTCAAACACATGTTGTAAATTCACAGTAGAAATTAGTCAATCAGTTCAAGAGGTCTCTATCATCAATGTAAAAATACATGACCACAGAAATCTGGTCACTTGGCACACTCCTGGCCATCCCCATTAACAGCTTTGCTCAACTTGTTTTCAGTGACTTAGATTACTAAATCATGCTTCTGAGAGATGTGATTTGGGTCACTACCACGCCTAATACAGTCCTCAACATCTTCTGGGAGGTTGTGTGGGACAGCTTCACCCATCACAGTTTTTGTCTCAGCCTGATACATGAAATCCCTGAAAGACGTGATTTCCCTCACAGTGTCTGCAAAATAGCCTCTTAAATTCTCTTGGAGTTATCTTGGGGTAGCCTGATCAATGTGTATTTTTTTGACAACCAGTTCTGAAACAGTATACTTTAGGGTCACCTGTGACAAAAAATAGGGTCACACAAGGTCATTGCCCAAAGCCCACATGAATACCTTGCATTTTGTGCCAGTTGTGTTGAAAATCCTTTCAACATGGCTGGTACCTTCCCCATTGATTCTGCAGGTACTTTAAGGCTGGCAGGGTTAAAACAGTCTCAACTACACAGAATTACTATGTTATTGTGTTGAACGTGTTGTCCTGGCACTCAGTGATCTGTGAAAGTGATAGGAATTTATTTACCTATGTACTATAAACAATGAAGCTCCTACGCCAGCTTGCATAACCAAAACACAACTCAGCAGCATCACTGACCATACTAAGACAAGACAAAAGGTGCATAATGTCCATGGGTCCAAGCAAGACTATGTGAAGGTACTGCAGTAACTCTGACCCTGCAACTGCTCTTCATTAGGAATGATACTGTAAGACACAGGTCACCAGATACGCATAAATCACCAGATACACATAAATCTTAAGAAGATTTATGGTGGTTTTACTTAGGCGGGCATCTGAGCTTCACCAAAACTGCTCTCTCACTCCTCATTCTCAAAGGGAAAGAGGGAGAAAATACGATGCAAAGGGCTTAAGGGTTGAGATAAGGACAGGCAGCTTGCTGAACAATTATTGTGACTGGCAAAACAGACTCAGATTAGTTTTAGATTTAGGGAGATTAGTAAAATTGATTGCCTATTACTAACAAGCTAAAGAAATGAGAACCAAATGAAAGAAATCAAAAACACACAGAATCACACAGAATCACACACAGAATTTCTAGGTTGGAAGAGACCTCAAGATCATCGAGTCCAACCTCTAACCTAACACTAACAGTCCCCACTAAACCATATCCCTAAGCTCTACATCTAAACGTCTTTTGAAGACTTCCAGGGATGGTGACTCCACCACCTCCCTGGGCAGCCCGTTCCAGTGCCTAACAACCCTTTCAGTAAAGAAATTCTTCCTAACATCTAACCTAAAACTCCCCTGGCGTAACTTTAGCCCATTCCCCCTCGTCCTGTCACCAGGCACATGGGAGAACAGGCCAACCCCCACCTCGCTACAGCCTCCTTTAATGTACTTATACAGAGCAATAAGGTCACCCCTGAGCCTCCTCTTCTCTAGGCTGAACAAGCCCAGCTCCTTCAGCCGCTCCTCACAGGACTTGCTCTCCAGGCCCCTCACCAGCTTCGTCGCCCTTCTTTGGACCT